CCTTACTACTAGTAACAAGTGCATCGCTACTAGGAGCAAGGACGCTATTAGTTTTGCTTCTTCGCCACCGGTGTTTGGGACCAGGTGTGCGCTACTGTGGGTCGCGTCAGGCGCCACATTTAGAAGTGTTGAATCCTGCCATCGATGCAGTCAGACTCGTTCCGTTGGGTCGATAAATCGAAAACCGTTCACTTTTGATTGTTTCGGTAGTTTTGAAGTAGTTCTGAAGTTGTCTTGAGAAAGCGTTGAGTTGGCTGCAAGCGTTTTGTGCGTCAGAGGCTTTGCTTGGGTGGTGACAGCCTCAATCCCTTCAGGGTTTCATGCAAGTTGTTTTGTTTAGAGTATGCACAGCACAAGTTCAGATGCGATGCATTTTAGATTCAGATTTTGATAGGTGTCCATTCAAGTGAAATTTCAGAAGTTGTTCTTTGCCAGGATGATCAGGTTTGAGAGATTCATATATGGCATGTGTATCATGTGTTTGGGAAATTTCGCCAACCTTGAGCCTACAAACAACAAGGCGTCGATTTCTGCCATAACTGTGACATGTGTGCTATTAGCGCCCCAGTTGCAGCCACAGCGGCAGCTGGATAGCCGGCAAAGCTAGTCGGTTAGTCGTTCCTGATCCAACTTTGTAAATCGACTGTCCTCATTTCTTGCCTTCTTTTTCGGTCCTGCATTCCGAAGCCAGGCCCTGACAGCAACCCTGAGTTTGCTTTCTGGAATTGTCCATTGATCCAGTAATTTTTAGATTCACCTGCCTAGCTGGACAAATGCTTGGCGCTTAGTGCGCTAGTGGATCGTGTGTGTGGTAGAAGTTAGCCGAACTTGTGTGAGCAACGCCATTTGCTTGAAGCTCATGCATTCATGGCGAGGAAAAGCATCGTGGCTTGGGCCACTCAACAGTGGTAGCGGAGCCCAGCGATGGGCGGGGCTTCTGAAGAAACTTGTTTCGCCATCTTAGCCCTGAGGCTGCTGACCACCACTTGATGTCCGAGGTTTCTTCGAAGGTTCTACCAGGTGACCTCTTGGTAAAGATCTGCATCATTGAGCCCCTTGCCAGCTCACTTTGCTGGGACGTGTGTTTTTTTGGCGCGGCTCGCCGGCAGGGGCTTCACGTGGAACAGGTGCTACACCATCGAGTTCCTCACCGCAGCACACACCTTGCCCGCGCCCTGCTAGCACTCCTGCGCCGGGAGGCTCGGGAAGTGTGGACTTCTGCCTGGGCCCGGCCGGAGAAGCAGCGCACTAGAGTACCAGCGATCTCTCACTTTGGCTGGTTGAAGCCGAGGGAAGGTTTTCTCCTAAACCCCATTGGGGGGCAAATCATTCGGCAGATGATTGGTGCCATTTCGTTTCCGCTCACCTCGCACTTGCTACCTCCAGTTGCACAGCTGCTCGCAGCTCCCAGTGCCAAACCGCAGCCTGTGATCTGGCCTTTTTCAACCTGATTTTTGCTGATGGGCGTCAGCAAACTTAGTCGCAACTGGAGACATTCACTGGGGCCAGGTAATCTCTAATTCCACAGGCCTATTTGTGAGCCTCAACCTGCCTGGCTTCGCTCTCCGCCGACTTCTTGAACAGGCCAGGACACGGTGGAAGAGACTTGAGTAGAGACAGGTCATAAGACGATCGCCACCATCGAGTGGAGCAAGGTGCGCTTGAAGCCACTTTGCGCCGCCATGACCGAGTGTAACAAATAAGTTCTTCACAAATAAGAAGGAAAAAATGACAAGGCCTAGAACTACTACTAGTCGCAAGAAGCTACGAGTAGCAAAGCAAGGGCATTACTAGTAGTAACGCTTGTTCCTAGTAGCTTTCCTTGTTAGTCGTAGCGATGCCCTTGTTACTAGTAGCTTCTAGCTACCAGTAGTAATGCCCTTGCTACTAGTAGAAGGCCTGTAAGTGACCAGTCCTGGACACTGGACCTTTTTTTTGGCACCAGCGGGTCAGCCAGAGGCTGAAGGTGCTCACGGGCCGATTTCGTGATCTGCGTGATACTGAGATTGCCATCCCGTGATCGTTCAGATGGGCTTCCCCGACCTCACAAGTGCAATCGTTTGGGGCGATGATGCTGATGGTGGAGGCTGGGCTGGGAAGATGAGGGCTACGAGGTCTTCAAGTCAGACACCCTTGACCCTTGATGGTCGTCCCTGACAGTTGCCGGTCAACGAGGGCAAAGCTAGCCATTTGCTTAGACCTTTCAAGCAGCTAGAAGCTACTAGTAACAAGGGCATCTAACAAGGAAAGCTACTAGGAACAGGCATTACTACTAGTAGCAAGGACGCTACTAGTGGCTCCTGGCCTCACTAGCAAGGATAGCAAAAGGGGCAGCCAAAAGTGCCGCCAGACGTCCTGTGGCGACCGTCCTTAGGACCGTCCAAGATGACGTCCGAGCGAAGGGGAAAGAGGAAAAGAAAGCGACGCTTCGTCTTACTACTAGGAACAAGAGCAAAGGGCATCGCTACTAGGAGCAAGGACGCTACTAGGAAGCGCGCAAGTTCTGGGCTACGCTTGATGCCGCGCACGCTCAGCTCCCTTCAATGCTTCGCCATCGGCTTCCCTACAAGTTTCTGACGACCGGCAAAAGCCACATTTTGGTGAATGTGTCGCAGGGCTTGATGAGTTTTCATCAGGGCCGACCGTGAACATATTCTTGGAGCACCAGATCAGCCGGCTCTGTCGCCTTAAAAGGTTGAAAAAAAAGAGGTGAGCTTGGACAACTTACTTGGTGGCCAGTCGGACATTTGGGGACAGCTTGAAGAATCAGAATCAGACGGCAACGCTGGCTCTTTTGCTTGGTAGAAGCCATCAAGAGAGGACTGCAACCTACTAGCAAATGATGAAAGCAAGCTTTTCAGTTGGACGCCGGTCGCGACCTCTCCGCGATGGATCAGAAGTCACCGACTCTTCGGCTGTGGATTTCAGAAATGTGTAGGTGCTGCAACTTCGCGGTTGGTAGCGAATAGTTGATACTTGAATTAGCTTGCCTCAGCTGGGTCAAGACGCATTGGCAATAGCCGCCCCAAAGCATCTTCCTGACAGAGATGAGTTCGATCAATGGGTGGAGAGCTTTGTTGATGGCCCTCTTCGCAATCGAGAACTTCTCACAATGATGCCTTCGGGAGCGCTTTCACTGGACTTGAGTTTGAAGGACTGCTCTTTTTTCGGTTTGGTCCATCGACCCATCCCTTTCTAATCATCCTCGACATTCAATTCACCTTTGGAGCATCCAGGAGTCAAATCTGCAAGGCTAAGATTTCGCAAAGCTGCCACCAGTCAAAGGATACTTGCACTGCAAACATTCACCAACCGGTCATGACAAAACTCACCAGCCCAAGGAGTCGTTGGCACGCTAGATGTGCTCAGTGATGACAGGCACCGTATGCGCAGGACACAGTGGCCTGCAAGATAGGAGCGTCCTTGCTCCTAGTAGCGACGCCCTTCCTCCTGCAAGACAATGCGACTCAACTGCCCGGAATTCTGGCAGGCCCTCAAGCCAGTCGCCATTGGCCCAACGGCTTCCGGCTTTCTGGGCCGGAAAAAACATGCTCATGTGCCTTTTTAAGATCAGTGCGCAGCACAGCTTTGTGAAAAGTACAGCGGACACGCAGCGCTGCAGGTGTGAAACGTCATGGCAATTGCTTGCATCTCACGCTGTGCCCAGATCCATGTCTAGCCGCTAGCCTCCTTTTCCCCACTTGTGGCGGCATTCAGCCCATCACTCACGGCTTGTGCCACTACTTTGCCTCTCCCGTTTGCAGGCGCATCCTTGTTTGCAACCTTTTCTTTACGAGAAATCATTTTGGGCAGAAGACGCTACTACTAGCCCCTGGCCATACTTACTACTAGGAACAAGAACGCTACTAGGAGGAAAGGTTCAAAGGGCATCGCTGCTAGGAGCAAGGACGCCACTAGTAGCTCCTGGCCTTACTGCTAGGAACAAACAGCTATTTGAGCCACCGAGGTGTCGATCCCGCTGCTTTTGTTCACGTTGGGTGGATCTATGCAACCCCACGTGCGCCGACGTGATCGAATGTGTTTCATGAATTTCACTTATGTTTCAGATGTTTTGTGTGTTTAAGTAAGCACTGCTTGGTTCCGCACGCACTTCTCATTTAGCATTTCTTTGCAACAAAAGCCTGTTTGAAGATCACGTTGAAGCCAGAACCCGGCACTTGCCCACATTTATCGGAAGAAAGTCACATTGCATCAGAATCAACGCAAGATAAAGCTGATGCGGAACGGGTTTATTACAGCTTCTTGTGTTGAGCTACAAATCCTTTTGCCGCGGGATTTTTCGCCGCAAGCTAGGAAAGACTTGGACGCAACACAAACCCCCCCTAAAGTCAAGCCTTCCGAAAGTTGCAGCCGCAAAGCAGAAGTTGTTGCGTTCCCTTTCAACACGCAAGGGTGAGCTCTCGTGTTAGGTTGCGGGGTGCATTTTTTCTTGAAAACAAAAACAGCCCCGAATCGTTGGCGAATGTCCGCACTGAGTCCCTATATGGAAGTGTCCGGCTCTCGCAAGCACAGGGCATCGCGTCCCCAATCTGAGTTTTGCGCGAAACTTTTCTCCGCAAGTCTTCGGGTGCGACGCAAGAATGTAAAAGAAAATATGTCCTAGTGTCCAGCATCCATGGGTGTCACACGAGACCTTGCCTCAATTGTTTCTCACCGGAGTGTTGAGCACACGTGTCACACTGTCCAAATTCCGGGCCCGCCCCCAACCAGTTTATGTTGGGTTCTCTCTTAGGAAGGAAGAAGCTGCCCACCGTCTGTGACCGCGCTGATGAATCCTCCTGTTGTTGTCCTCTTCTCCTTCTTCTGGTGCGTAGCTTGGCCACGGCTGCCAGCCACACCTTGCCCTCCTGTTTGTTTTGCGTCAGCTGTCTATTCCTCTTCAGCGCAATCAAAGGGCCCAACGCGGTAAACTATTGCGCACACGCAAGTCTCGTGTGGTCTTCCTTGTCCTGCTGTTGTCCTCTTCTTGCAGGGTTCTCTTCTTCGCTTGTCGCCATTTTTCCAGTCCTGTCGTCCTCATGTCTGTTGTCCTGCTGCGGTCGCGCTGTGTACGTTGCTTTCCAAGGCAGGGGCTGAGGGCTGCGGCGCCCGCAACAAGTCGTGAAAACTAAGCTGCTCGGGGTCTACGCTGGTAGAATTTTTGTAAACTTGTTTTTTCAATGTTCTTGGTGCTTGCAGTGCGCTTGCAGATGGGATGGGCCACTGGCATTGGCGCGGCGTGTGGCATGTTCTCGATTTTGGTCCAGGCTGGCCCTCGTTGAGCGAAACGAGCCAAGACCAAAGATAGCCCGAAAGCACAGCAGGAGATGACAGAAGGTAACGATGAGGATGAGCTAGGGTTGAAGATGATGTTGATAATGATGATGGTAGTGGTGGTGATAATAGGGACGAGGATCACAACGGCTAATGCTAAGCCTCGTCGACACTGCCAATCATCCCGCTCCGCCGCTCCCCAGCCGAATTTGCACCACGCGTGCTTTCCTTCCCCCAATGGCACGAACTCACACAAACGCGCTTTCCACCGAGGCTGCGCAAAAACCCACCGCAGCCACGCAAAACCGCGCGCCACAGCGATGTCACAGACGTAGTTTAAACACATCCCACACTACATTTGCGCTACAAAGTTGCCAGTTCTAAGGCCACATCTTGTAGACTTTTCTTCCTGCGTGCCTTTGCACCCACAGCTCCCAGACGCTGCTGCCCGTGGTATATATAACTTGTACTTACAAGTGCCCAGTTCTCAAGCCGAAGGTCCCAGAAGCTGCACTAAATTTCTACGACCATGTCGACAACAGTTACACACTTAAGCAACCTCCACCTTCAAATTTTCAGCGACAGTTACACGCTCTGGCAACCTCGAAATTCGTTTCAACGACAGTTACACACTGGCAACCTCCACCTTTGTGTTCGACGACGGTTACACACACATTTGGCAACCTCCGCCGCCGTTTCGACGTTCCCGCAGAGTCGGGTTTCGTGAGCGTACCCCCACACCTGTGTTTCAATACTTGTATCAAAAAAACACGTATTTATGGTGTTATGATATGCCCGGTGTTGCCCTTGCATCTGTACACTTGAAGATGATGACCCTTGACGATCATATCAACCACCTGCGTCTGCGCAACTTCTCATGGTGAAAACGGTGATGATGATGATGATGATGATGACAACAATGACAGTGATGCTGATGGAGATGACAGTGCTGCGGTTGGCGATGGCAATGACAGTGATGATGGTGATGGCGCTGATAGTGTTTACGATGATGTTGATAATGACGGTGCGGATGATAGATCATCAAGAAAACGATCCTGAATGTTGTTCTTTTGATGATAGCAAAAGGACAGTTAGACAGTTTATTGGAATACTTCTATTCCAGCCTCCGGTGGTCCTCCCAGACCGTTCGGAACCTGACAGCGCCTTCAGGTTGACCAGAGGCTGGCAGCCTTCGCCGTTTTCCTTGCCTGGGGCTCAATGCGACTGATAAGGTGGTTTGGAAGCCAATTTTGCAACCCAATAGCGAAAAGTAGCTAACATGTTACTTGCAAACACACTGTTTCTCTCACATACGAAGTTGCCTCTGGCACTACCCACGCAGAAAGCTATGGACCTTGCTGTTTTTAATTGTTCAGCTGGTCTCCAGCCAAAAGCTGCGAGCTCCCTCAAGCGCCTAGCCGGAAGCGCCAAACCAAAAGCACTTGCACTTGGCCTGTATTGTCCAGCGCCCGCCTCCAGTAAAGCTTGGCAAACATTCAAAGGAGAGCCATTTAATTTTGGAAGTTTTTCTGTTCTTTTTTGGCGTTTTTTTGTTTTTCGTGGCTTCTGGCTTTTGTGGCTTTTCGCTTTCATGGCTTCTGTGGCTTCCGTGGCTTTTGGCGTTCGTGGCTTCTGTGGCTTTTGGCTTTCGTTGCTTTTGTGGCTTTTGGTTTCTTGGCCTATCCATCTATCTGTCTATATCTATCTATCTACCTATCTTTCTTTCTGTCTGTCTGTCTTTCTTTCTTTCCTTTTGGCAGCTGTTCTCCTTTGTCTTTTTGCATTTGCTTTTCCTGTTGTTTGCGTTGCAGAGACGAAACCAAACAAGGAAGCAAGCAAGCAAGGAAGCAAGCAAGCAAGCACGAGCTGCATACCTTTGGATCTGGTGTGCTGCTGGGGGGGCGCTGCGCCCCTCCCCAACCCCCCCGGCGCAACGAAATCTGCACTTCATCTCCGACACCGCGCTTGCCACGAAATCAATATTTTAAGGGGAATTCCCGAGCGCAAAAGTTTCTAACCAAGCAAACATGCCTCCTGCGCTAGTTCTCTTTCTCTTTGCTGTTTCTTTGCTGTTTCTCTGTTTTTTCTTTCTTTTTTTCTTTCTTTCGTTCTTTCTTTCTGTTTTTCTTTCTTTCTTTCTTTCTTTTTCGCAGCTGTTCTCCTTTCTCTTTTTGCTTTTGCTTTTCCTTTTGTTTGCTTTGCAGAGACGAAACCAAACAAGCAAGCAAGCAAGGTTCGCTGCGCCCCCCCCAACCCCTCCGCGCCACGAAATCTGCACTTCATCCCCGACACTCCCCAGTGCAAAATTTTCTAACCAAGCAAAAATGCCTCTTCTATCTATCGATCGATCGAGCGATCGATCGATCGATCCATTTATCTTTCTATCTGTCTATCTGCAGTTCAACATCCACAAAGTATTACACCTGCCACCAAATCTGCACTTCAAGGTCGACAAAGTCCTGCACCTGCCACCAACTCTACACTTCCACATCCACAAAGTCCTGCATCTGCCACGAAATCTGCACTTCAAGGTCCATAAAAGTCCTGCGCCTGCCACGAAACACGAAAAAACAAAAAAGAATCAAAGAAAAACATCAAAATTAAGTCGCGGCCCAAATCCAAGCGATGGTGACCCCTCCCTGATCCGTCCGATTCCAACGATTGCTTTGCTTTCAACACTCTTCTCCATTTTGCGAGGCGTCGAACCGCGAAGCACCCCGGGCGCAATACACCCCGTGATGTCAAGACTTCCAAAGGGGCACATTCCTGAGCTAGTCCAGCGTTTGTTGCAAACCATGGTTTGAGCGCATACCTTAGTGTCGTTCTTTGATTTGCAAGAATCCGCGTTATTAAGTTAAACAGTTAAACTAATAGCGATGGCCTCCAACCTAATAGTTTCTTGCTCGTAGTAGTGATGCCAGGAGCTCCGTTCGTAGCGTCCTTGCTCCTAGTAGCGATGCCCTTTGCTCCTAGTAGCAATGGAACCTACTAGCGATGGCCTCCAACTTCACAAAGTCGAAGCCTTTGCGTCGTTTCAGCATTTGCTTTCGATGTCGTAAAAGTCGAGGTCGTCACAAACACTCACACCGCCACAGGCATCGCCAAGCTTTGCCAGAAGCTTTCCACAAGCAGAACTCTGATTGCAAGACGAATTATCTCCAGGCATGCAGGCAAAGCGGCCTCATGCCCAGATCACATTCGTTTGAAACAATGCCCGGTAAGGCGGCAGATCTCTTCTTGGCCCTGCCTTCTTAGGATTGGTTTCCTGAAACATGCGCTGTAACCATTGCAGCGGTGGCGTTTTTTGCGGGGTTTGAGCATCGCGACAACATGTAGCTCACAGAATAATCTATCATGCATTCATCATGTAATCTTGAATCTGCAGGAATGCTTGCCCAAATGCCACACATCTTGACTTAAAAAGCATTCTCACACTGACCCTGAGAAATGCTGCGGGAAGGTGAAGAAAGCACATTGAGCAACAAATCAAGACACCACCTGACAAGGTCTCGAAATGTTCAATCAGAAAGAGCAAGCCGCAAGTCCATCCAAAGGAATTGTATGATTCCAGACAACAAAGAGCTCCATAGTTCCATATGGGTTTCCAAGGTCAAGGGCTCAAAATATCGCTTTTCCAGAACGTATCTTTTGTTCCGGGGGACTTAAGCTACTAGCTAGCTATTGCTAGCTACTGGACGCTGGATAGATCAAGGAAGCTCCCCCGGTTCTTCTTCTTTTTTCCTTCTTCTCCTCCTTCTTCTTCTGCTTTGGCTCGAATAGACTCACAATCCCACAATGCGCGACTGACATTCTTCTTTGGTTGTGAGGATGCGACACCTGTTACGAAGCTTTCCTCCTCCAACGGCGGTCTGATTGGAGCCCAAAACAATCAACTACCAGTGCGGCGCGCACATGCAATTAGGTCTTTAGGCCATTGCTAGTAGGTTGGAGGCCATTTCTATTAGGTTCCTTTTGCTAGTAGGAACAAGAAGCTACTAGGGGCTCCTGGCCTCGCTACTAGGAGCAAGGAAGCTACTAGGAGCTTTCGTTTGCTACCGGTTACTTTTGCGCCTTTACGTGGGGGAAAAGAGTTCCTTTTGCTTGATTGGCTTTGACCGTGCTCCTACCCCCTCTCACCTGTCCAACACCAGCGGCCCAGATAACCGGTTGAAGGTATTAAGAACCTTTGGAATTTTAGAGGGGTTTAATTCGGATGAGTCAGTAGAGGTCATCGTCTTGCCTTCCTTTGTTACTAGTAGCGTCCTCTTGCTCCTAGTAGTATGGCCAGGAGCCCCTAGTAACGTCCTTGTTCCCAATAGCGATGCCCTTTGTTGCTAGTAGCTTGCTTGTTTTCTCTTCTTTTTTGTTTCCTTTTACTTTGCAACAAGAGTGGTCGCCACGGTCTCGAGGCATCAAGCGCCGAGGTGTCCTTCTCATCTGCCCTGGCGGCACAACAGTTGATGACCTTTGTCTTGGCCGCAGCCGCATGCCAAGGGCCAAAGGTTGCCAAACCGTTAAAAAATGATGAAGAGTGTTATGTATAGACCCCAAAAATATAGGTAAAAGTAGATCCCCACTAAAGATGTATTGGAAACCGTTTCTGTCTATTTGGGGGCCACTATAGGCTGAATACGTCAAAATCTACTGCTTGCGGCAAATCAAAGCAAGGTGGCAACGTGTTTGACCACGTTAAATGCCAAGCGGCGTGTGTGCAATCCCAGTGAGCAGGTGCGACATGACATTTGGACACACTGAAAATTATTAGATTTCAACAAACACTAGTAGGTTGGACTCCATTGCTATTAAAAAGGTTGCAGGCCATCGCTTATAAGTTGGAGGCCATCGCTCTGAGGTTGGAGGCCATCGCCGGTAAGTTGGAGGCCATCGCTAGTAGGCTGGAGGCCATCGCTAGTAGGTTGGAGGCCATT